TAGTCAGTCATTGCGAAGTAAATCTTGATGTCGATCATTTTATGACGTAAAATTCGTCATTTTAATGTCACATTGACGTTTTTGTGATTAACTCGTTCTACTTGGGTCTCTACCAATTTATTACAACTCGTGCAGCGCTGCTTCTTACCTCGGCAGTCTTCGAAATAAAAAAAAAACATGCCACTGCAGAAGAGATATGGGAATAAAATTTACAAATTTCGATAGAATTTTTCCAACTTCGAATGACTTTGTGTACGATTGCCCAGCCTTTTGTAAAATTGTCTACGCCCCCCCAAGTTTTTGTGCCGCGTAACGACGTAAAATATTGCGCGAATTTTTAATGAAGCGATCAAGCTAACATATTCATTGTGCCAATCTATTCTACGATCGTCGTTGTGGTCATTGCATTGTTTTCTTTAGAGTTGCACCAATAGAGCTGTCACGAACCGACCGTTATCAAAGCGCTCCTCTCTTCACGGTTGTTAAGATTAAGGAAGCGTTATCAGTTAAATGTATATTTGAATTAGACGCGTCTTTTTCAGATAAAGTATCTAGTTATTGATTGTAATTTCGTCGTATTAACACATTAACACATTCATTAAAGTAACGTCAAGTTGCACAAAAATATCGCGAGTCCCAGGTCGCGCGTAAATCGCTTAGAACAGAAAACTTTACTCTAATCAATTTAAAAACCTCGATACAATTTATCTCAATGGCGGATTGTTAATTGTAATGACAGTTAAATATAAAGATTGTTTTCAATAGCACCTTATTGGCTTTTCCACGACAAGCACTCGATAAATGGGAGACTGTCATTTCATCCGCGATCTCTCGCTACGTACATTGCGGAAACATTTCTTTCCACAATTCTGACTACAGAACGATTCGCTGTTAGAAAACAAAGATATTCATAAATCACAAAGTTCACCACGAGGGAGAATTCATTTCAGATTTGTCGCCGGAGAGCTTGCGTTATAATTCAGCGAAAATGAATAGAACAGCCGCTCGGTACAGCTCTTCAGTACGCAACGTTAAACGTTCGCATCAGTTGTCGTTGATCGATGCTCAAGCATTTCAAACGTGTCCTTGCCTTTCATGGATTATCAAGATGCTTTGCCATTTCATTCCATTATAGTCGTTAGAATATTTAAGTTTGCATACGACTTTTTACAATTATTGACTCAACATCGCGAACTTAATTGCAAGCTCAGACGCTGGCAAGTATCTAATTGGGCAACGATCGTTTTCACACAAATGCAAGCATTTCATCATATTGTTAAACGTAATTCTTGTACATTTTGTTACATTAGTCGTACGTACCTTGACTTATTATTCTGATAAAAGTTACGCGACGATGCGCACATTCTCAGAAAACTGTTCTCGACAAAAGCTAAACGACACCTCGTCGCTCAAAATATTTCGGTATTCCTTGCAAGTACATTTTATTGCTTCCCCTTAGGTTTACAAGGCGGTACTCCTTGTATTTAATTTAAATTTGTCACGTCAGAGCAGCAGGAGTAGGTTGACACTTTTCATCTACGATCTAGTAAATGGACACCTGTGAAAAGTTTTAATCAATGAAAGCAGATGTATAATACAAATTATAAACAGCACCGTACGTTGCAGGAAAAGCGAAGCTTTGGAAATTAAAAATGCTGGCCTCTCATTTCTGTCGAGAAAAAAAGTTTCCTCGACGTATTCGGAAAATGAAATCCATTCCCCCCCGATTGATCGAAATTGAAAGAGTTCGTAAATAAACGAAAGACGCGGTTATTGGTAGATTCGGTAGGAACGACACTCGGTACATGTGCGACACCCGAGACAGATAAAATGCAAATAACCGGTGAATAGATAAAACATTTAGTGAATCGCACGAGTGAGCGAGCGAATGCGCAAAGTCCGCTAAAAATTTACGTAAAGCCGGGCCACTTGGCGAGATCGTTTCCACCAGTCTTCGCGTGTCTAGAAATCGCTTCCAATAATCGCTTCGTATAAAACAGACGTGGGAGGGAGAACGTCAGTCACGTGCACTAAAATCGTTCTGTTGTTTCGTTTCATTCGTATAGCGACATAGAAGAGGAAGACAATGCGCCACGTCGTTCCCATTTTTCCTGGCGAACCGAGTGAACCGGATTAGAAGAGATAGAGAAATACAGAGAGAGAGCGCGAGTGAGAGAGAGAAGAGGAGAGAAGAGGAGAGAGAGGACGCAAATCGATAGCGCACGATTTCGGTGTCGGGTCAGCTGGTGGTGCCTTCATCCCCCGGTGTTGTCAAGCCGCGTTTTCCCTTCCTGTTCCCCTTGGAAACACGGAGCACCACGGGAAGTGGTGTCGCGCTGCTGAGAGAAGCTACCCTTCTACGCGATGAGAGACACCGGCAACCAGGCCAAGTACGAGCAGCTCTTGGACGACGCCGGCCTCGAGATCCGCAGCGACGACAAGGAACGCAACGATGATGCGACTCTAAACGAGGTGAGCCTAGATTCGAACGTTTTATGAATCTAAATGACATAATCAACAATTAGTCCTCATGCGTGTACACAGACCGATTCTTCGTTATACGCCAGTGTTTATATTAACCGTGTCTCAATGAGGCTCGACGTTTATTGATATCACAATTGTGAGGGCTTCCAAAGGATATGCGTTAGGGCCTGAGCCGAAAGATTGTCGTGACCGTTTACGATTCTGTCGTAAGACTCAAGTCGGCGTCGGAAGTCAACGCACAAAGAATTGTCGTAGACGCACGTCGCCTTGCGATGACTCGTAAACGGCTACGACAATCTGTCTGTTCAAGCCCTTACAACGGACAGTTTAAACATTTTTCTAAATCACATTTTGGAAGAGAAAACTTGAGCACACGACATGCGTGTTGTCATTTTGATCTCTAGGTTCATCCCTTGGAGCACCGACATATAATCACGAATCATCTGTGGCAAACATACTTTTCAGCGTACGCGCGCGCTGCGATAGAGTTGTGCAATTTCACGAAATATCTGTATTTGCGTGAATCCGTTTCTCTTCCCACGACAGCCGGATAAAAAGTTGGGCGAAAGGTGGAACCCGATATCCCGCGAATCCATTCGAAGTTATCAGGCGCGTGTGCCAAACTGAAGCGAGCTGTTTCACTTTATGCGTCACGCGCTCCAACGTCTACGCTTTACTCATAGCTTTCGATATACCAACTTGCAACCTCAGCTTGATTCGTCTCTTCTCCTCGCGGCTTCTGAACCTCTTCACTTTTCGCTCCTTTTCCTCCCTCTCTTTCTCTGATAAGAAAAAAATGATCACTATGTTGTATATGAGATCAATCTAAAATCAATCTTTCCATCAATTTGATCATCTGGTCATAGAGTTGTAAAATGCAGACAACGCCTGACAAAGGTTTAAAATCCTTTAAATATAATAGAATTTATGTTAAAAGCCTACAGCCACTCCTCACTGGGTCAAGTGCAGAAAATATAGCGTGGCGCAGCTATACAAAGTGCAGACCTGCTCCGTTCTCCTCGGCAAGGCGCAGAATTTAGTCGGCGCGATATCACGCTTTTAAAGATTCCAATTTTCTCTCAATCGCTCATCCAATCGTCCTGAAAAGGGGAGATAAATTTGCATGACAATTAACGACAATTTGAATGAATAATTAGAATTGGAGATTGTGGATTGCGGTGCATGGCGTTTACATAAGTGAAACTCGTATGTCACGAGGAAATGCTCGTCACGTTACCACGTGGGCAAGGACGCAAAAATGAGACCATTGCCAGTGGATTGCAAGGAGTAATACGACTAATGGCACCTGCATAATGACGCCAAGTGCCACAACTACTATAATATTTGCATAGGCAAACAACGCCTTTCCAACGCGGCCTACAGCTCGAGAAATGTTTAAATAGCCTATTAGCCCTAGCACTTTTCTCACTTTACCGCCTCTCCCTCTCATGCTCGCAGCAAAAAGGTAAACAGCCACAAATGTAAACAGAAATTTGTGGTAAGAAAAATATTCGATACCAAGCACAAGCGGCATCGTATTCGCATGGGCGAGTCTGTCATATTCTTTCGAGAGTCGTCCCGACTTTTCGCCATTTCCTAGTAGCACAATATATTGGCGCAATATTGGGAATAAAATCTAGTATTCCCAATATTGGTTCAATATTGTAAGGTGGACGCCTTCTCTTATTTAGCCAATATTCTTATTGCATCGTTAAATATTGGCCAATGCATTTCCATATAAATCTAACATTATATAATCGTTACC